CCTCCTCCCTCCTCCTCCTCCTCCTCCTCCTCCTCCTCCTCCTCCTCCTCCTCCTCCTCCTCGACATGCGGGAGGCATGGGTCGGAACGCAGAGGACGCAGGGGCACCCTCGCTTTGGCCAGGCCGGCCCAGTGATCGGGCCTGGCTGCAGCCCGACTCGCAGGGCGCCGCGCGACGCAGCAGCGAGCGACAGGCCGCCGAGCAGCCGAAGCAGCTGGCCGCGGCCGAACGCCACCGACCGCGACGCAGCCGGGACGCCCCGCCGCTGCTCGCAAAAGGGCGGGCCGCTGTGCTGCTCCGAGCCCGAGGCGGCCCGCCCGCCGGCGTGCCCGCGCGGGCCGGGTCCTGAGGCTCGGGCCACCTCCTCGGCGTCCCCGTTGATGCGGAGGCGGAGGCACTGCTCGCGCTCCCAGCGGGGCCGCTCCTTCCTCGCAGGGGTGGGGCCACTCGGGCGTTGCTTGAGACATGGGGGGAGGGGGGGGGGAAACGTGCACCCCTCGAGCCCCCTTTTGGGCCCGAGGGGGGCCCGTTGGGGCCTCTTGAGGACACAAAGAGGGTGGACCTGTTTTCACTCCTCTAGGGCCCCATTTGGGGCCCCTTCTTCGCACGGGGTGGGACAATCTTTTTGTCAGTCGTCGTCGTCGTCGTCGTCGTCGTCGTCGTCGTCGTCGTCGTCGTCATTGTCGCCGTCGTCGTAGCCGTCTTCGTCGTCGTCGTCGTCGCCGTCATCGTCGTCGTCGTCGTCGTCGTCATCGTCGTCGTTCAGACCTTCAGCGTCGCGATCAAAAATCGAGACGATACCTGGCGTCGACATTTTTGTCGTGGCACGGGCCCCGTTGGGCTCCCAGCGGAGCCGCTCCGTCCTCGCATGGGTGGGGCCACTCCGTTTTGTCAAACGTCCAGCGTCGCGAACAAAAATCGAGACGATATCCTGGCGGGGCGTCTGGCCACCCCGATCCCCGACGTTTGTGGAACTGCCGAACGGACCAACCAATTTGAGGCCAAGCTCGGGGACACCCGACGGGGGGCGCCCGACGGAGGGCGATATGAGGCCAGGACGGGGATAGCCGCCTGTGGGGTGTCCTCCCGAGTTCCCCCTTTTTCTGGGCGGCCTAACCTGTCCAGCGGAATTCGGAGACTGGCGGCGAGACCTGACCTGCAATATCTGGCGTCGCGTCGCGATCTTGGTCGCGGCGCGGGCTCCAGAAGTTCACGTCGGGGCCGCGCCTTCCTCGCATTGGTGGGGCCACGTTTTGCTTGTCAGACATCCGGCGTCGCGAACAAAACTCGACCCGAAATGTATGATGTGTATGTGTATGCAGATGCATATATATATATATATATACCTATACGACCACCCTTCGGGTGATAAGGAGGTTGTGGGGTGGGGGAGAGGGGGGAACCAACATCTGACTCAATCGATCTCACTATCGATCTCACTCAACGGGACACCACCGGACACCACGGGACACTTGTCGCTCTCACGATGGATCTCACTATCGATCTCATTCAACGGGACACCACGGGACACCACGGGCCACCACGGGACACCACAGGACACCGCGGGACACCTCTCGATCTCACTATCGGTCTCACTATCGATCTCACTATAGATCTCACTCAACGGGACACCATAGGACACCACGGGACGCCTCGGGACACCACAACGATCTCACTATCGATCTCACCATCGATTTCACTATCGATCTCACTCAACGGGACACCACGGGACATCTCAGTATCGATCTCACTATCGATTTCACTTGTTGGGGCACCACGGGACAACACGGGACACCTCGGGGCACCACATCGATCTCAGTATCGATCTCAGTGTCGATCTCACTATCGATCTCACTCAACGGGACACCACAAGACACCACGGGACACCTGTCGATCTCACTATCGATCTAACACGGAGGTAACGGAAAGAGCGAGATACGAGCGATGACGTTGTGTTTTGGGCGCTGCCCCTAAGGGGGGGGTCCAGGGGGGGGCGTAGGCCGAGCGGATGGGTTTGATGGTCGTTTTGGGGGTTCTCCCTCGGGTTCTTGCATGTTTTTCGGATTTCTTCCCTTTTCCGTCCGAGAAGGGCCCAAGACCGCCCAAGACAGCCCCAAGACGTCCCAAGAGGCCTCCAAGACTCCCCAAGAGGCGCCCAAGAGGCGCCCCAAGAAGGCCCCCAAGAGGCCAAACTTATGGATGCCCCATAGGAAAACGTACACTCATTTTTAGCATATACGGCTTTTCGGCTTTCACGGCGTTGGCGACGGCCCAAGAGGCCCCCAAGACCGGCCCAAGACGGCCCAAAAGGCTCCCAAGAGGCCCCCAATACGGCCCCAGAGGGCCCCAAGACGGCGGCCCAAGAGGCGCCGAAGACGGCCCGAGAGGGCCCCAAGACGGCTCCAACAGGGGGACCACGAACCGACAAGTCGAGCCCCTCGCCGCAAGACGCCCCCAGGAGGCCCCCAGAGCCCCCCGAGAAGCCCCAAGAGGCTCCCAAGAGGCGGCCCAAGCGGCCACCAGGAGGACAAAAACATTGATTTTCCGAAATGGAAATGCCCATGTTTAGCATACCCGGCCTTTCGGCTTTCACTGCGTTGACGACGGCCCAAGAGGCCCCCAAGACCGCCCCAAGACGGCCTAAGAGGGTCCCAAGAGGCCCCCAAAACGGCCCCATAGGGCGCCAAGACAGCCCAAGAGGCGCCCAAGACGGCCCAAGAGGGCCCCAAGACGGCCCAAGAGGGGGACCACGAACCGAAAAGTCGAGCCTTTCGCCCCAAGACACGCCCAGGAGGCCCCCAGAGCCCCCCAAGAAGCCCCAAGGGGCCCCCAAGAGGCCCCCAAGAGGGCTCCAAAAATGCCCAAAAAGGACTCCCAAGCAGGCCCAGAGTCGCCAAATAGAGAGAGAGAGAGCGATCGATAATGCAACAAGTTCTTCACACCAAGGCTCCCAAGAGCGACTGGTGACGTAAACAAGCTGATAAGACCAAGGATCCCAGCAGAGAGCGGTGACGTAACAAGTTCCTGACACCAAGGCCCAGCCAAGGCTCTGGAACGGGCGGCAACGCAATAATCTCTGAACACCAAGTCTCCCAAGAGCGAGGGGTGGCGTAACCAGCTCTCAACGCCAAGGCTCCCGGTACGAACGATGGTGTGCGTAATTTCGGTTTCTGTTTCTGAAGCGCTCTTTCCGTTTCTGTGCTGGGCCCAGGTATGAAAGCGTCAGCATGTATGGCGTCATTGAGCTTGAGGTAGTTGGCTTCGGTTTTGGGTGGTAGTTGGAACCTCGAGAGTGGTGTGGCTCTTGAGTCGGGTCGTGGTGGGGGACGTGGTAGGTACTGGTTCCCGTCCTGGTGTACGAAGAGCTCGTTGTTGAACCCGTCCAGGTACCTGCTCCATCCTGTTCATAATAAAGAGTCGTTGGGGAGTATGTACGTGTAGGTGTTGGAACGTTCGTGGTAGTATAGCGCGTAGTGCCATCGGTCGTCGTTGTAGCCGTCAGTGCCTGTGTCGCTGGGGTGGTGGTGGTAAGCTGTCCAGCCGCTGGGGCAGTGCACATCGTGGTATTCGTTCGGCGACAACGAAGTGAGGTTGACATCATGCATGTCTGCCGCTCCGTCAATTTTGGCCCATGGGTCGTCGTTGTCTATGCTGCCGTCGAAGTCTGGCGTGTCGTATAGTAAGTCGGGCACTTGTGCCCATGGGTTGTGGGTCGGCATAGGTTGGGGCTGCTGCTGGAGCGCAGGCTATGCAGGTGGCGTTGGTATTTGTGCTGCAGGAGGTGGCGTGTACTCGTAGCTGGCGTCAAGTCTTGCTCTGTCCTGTTTTGCATTACTGGGCTTGAACGTCAGGATTAATATGCACCGTTGTGGTGGCGTCATTTGCGCTTGTGCAGGTGAGTCGTAATTTGTGCTCACGTTCGCGTATTCCTTTCATGTCGCGAATCTCTGCGAGTTGGCCTTGTACGAATTAGTAGTGGGGATGGTCGGCTCGGATATCAGTAGAAATCCTGACTCCGTCTCGCGCCCTGATGTAATTGGGTGGTCGGAAGTTGAAGTGTCGTCCACCAGGATTTGGTAATTCAAGCGCGGGTTGTGGAAGGATGTAGTTGGGATTGCGCTCTGGCGCACGCAATACTTGCTGGGGTGTAAGTCCTTGGTGGGTGTAAGGAACAGGTGGCACAGCATCAGGGCCCACATAGGGTTGGCACACGCGTCGGTGAGGTCAGCTCGTACTGCGTTGGGGGAGTCGGATACTGGTACAGGTCAGGTTTTACCCGTTCTGTTCCCGCCCATTGGTTTAAGAGCTGGCACTCATAGTCTGATGAGTTTTGTAGCACCCGCACTCATGTTGTAGGTCTGTAGGAGGTGGTGTGGTGTGTGTGTGTGTGTGTGTGTGTCGGTGCGTCTCTACTGCGCATATGGCCCAGGGTGGGTGTACTGCTGATGTTCCTGATGTGTGGAGGGCATCTGCTAGATGGTTGGTTAACGACAGCACTTCTGAAGCTGTGGTGATACTGTGCTGAGGGTCGGTCATGAAGCTGGGGAGTGTGGTGTAGTCGTCATCGGTGAACTTGGTGCGTATGCCGTTGTCTTTGTCCATCTGGAACTCGTACCTCCTGCCGTGTTGCTGGTAGTAGATATTGTACAGTGTCTCCTTGAGGCTCTTTTCGGTGCTGTCCTCGTTGAAGTAGGCGTATCGTATTCGTACCATGTTGTTGTCGATGTCGCTGCTGAGTTAGACCCAAGGACTGTGGATGAGCGGCCGTCGTCGCACGTCGCGTTCGGTATCGTCGTTGTCCTCCTCCTCCTCCTTTTCCTCCTCCTCCTCCTCCTCCTCCTCCTCCTCCTCCTCCTCTCCCTCCTCCCTCCTCCTCCTCCTCCTCCTCCTCCTCCTCCTCCTCTCCTCCTCCTCCTCCTCCGCTCCCCTCCTCCTCCGCTCTCCCTCCTCTCCTCCTCCTCCTCCTCCTCCTCCTCCTCCTCCTCCTCCTCCTTCTCTCCTCCTCCTCCTCTCTTCCTCCTCCTCCCCTCCCCTCCGCCTCCTCTCCTTCCTCGCCTGTCCTCATCCTCCTCCCCTTCTCCTCCTCCTCCTCCTCCTCTCTCCTCCTCTCTCCTCCTCTCCTCCTCTCCTCTCCTCCTCCTCCGCCTTCTCCTCCTCCGCCTCGTCTCCCTCCTCCACCTCTCCCTCCTCCTCCTCCTCCTCCTCCTCCTCCTCCTCCTCCTCCTCCTCCTCCTCTCTCTCCTCCTTTCCTCCTCCTCCCTTTCCCCCTCTCTCTCCTCCTCCTCCTCCTCCTCCTCTCCTCCTCCTCCTCCTCCTCCTCCTCCTCGTCCTCATCCTCATCCTCATCCTCATCCTCATCCTCATCCTCATCCTCCCCCCCGGTCCTCTTCTCGTCTGGCCCGCTGCGCTGCTCGACTGCCTGGCCAGCCGGGGGCCGGCGCTGGCGCCGCCGGGGGGAGCGCGGTGGGTCGGCGGGGCGGCCCAGAGGCTGTGGGCGGTCGGCGTCGTCTCCGCCGCGGTCGCCGTCGGCACCCTCGGCGTCCTCGTCGTCCTCAGCGTCGTCGACCGTCCGCCTTTTCTCTCGCCCTCCGTGCCTACCCTTTTCCCACAGGAGGGCGTTTTCGCCAGGTTTCGGGCCCTGGGACCCTCACAGATCGATCCAGCTCGAAAAATGACGCAGAAAGATGGGGTCTAGGGCTCCGGTCGTGATTTCTTGCGGTGTTGCATTTGTTCTGCAGCGTCGGAACTCAGGGTAGATCCGTCCCCTCCCCATGCTCTCCACCTCTCGCTGCCCCTCTCGCTCCTTTCATCCTGCTCCCCCTATCCTCCTACTACCTCCTCCTCCTCCTCCTCCTCCTCCTCCTCCTCCTCCTCCTCCTCCTCCTCCCTCATCATCATCATCATCATCATCATCATCATCTCATCATCATCATCATCATCATCATCATCATCATCATCAGCAGCAGCAGCAGCAGCATCATCATCATCATCATCAGCATCATCAGCATCATCATCATCATCATCGTCGTCATCATCATCACAAGCATTATCATCATATCATCATCATCATCATCATCATCATCTCATCATCATCATCATCATCATCATCATCAGCATCATCATCATCATCATCATCATCATCATCATCATCATCATCATCATCATCATCATCATCATCATCATCGTCATCGTCATCATCATCAGCATCATCATCATCATCATCACCACCACCACCATCATCATCATCATCATCATCATCATCATCATCATCGTCATCATCGTCATCCTCATCATCATCATCATCATCAGTTTCATCGTCATCATCACAATCATCATCATCATCATCATCATCATCGTCACCTTCATCCTCATCATCATCCTCATCATCATCACCGGCATCATCATCATCATCATCATCATCAGCATCATCATCATCATCATCATAATCATCATCATCATCGTCATCATCATCATCGTTGTCATCAGAAGCAGCAGCAGCAGTGGCATCATCATCATCATCATCATCATAATCACCATTACCATCATCGTCATCATCATAATCACATCATCAGCAGCAGCATAATCATCATCGTCATCGTCAACATCATCATCGTAGTCATCGTCGTCGACATCATCATCATCATCACCAGCAGCAGCATCATCATCAACATATCATCATAATTAGCATCAGAATCAACATGATCAGCAGCATCATCATCAGCATCAGCATCATCATCAGCAACATCAACATCATCATCAGCAGCATCATCATCAGCATCAGCATCATGATCATAATCATCATCGTCATCACCATCATCAGCAGCATCAGCATCGTCGTCGTCATCAGCATCATCATAGCCATCATCATCATTGTCATAATCAGCACCAGCATCAGCATCATCGTCATCATCATCAGCATCATCAGCAGCATCACAATTATCCTAGTTTGCCTGCTCATCCTTCTCCCTCTCCTGATTTCTAAACACTTCCGTCGGAGGTTGGGGGGTGAGATCGGAGTGGAACGGAGAGCCCCCTACCGGGAAATCGATTTCGGTTTCGTGTTCATGCCGTGCGTGCGGGCGAGGCGAAGCTGCGTGGGCGGGGAAGAAGAAATTCTCATGTGGCTGGGCCGCGGCTGGACCAAAAAGTTCTCCGCCCGGCAACTGGTGGCGCGCGGTATCCCGCCGGTGTCCCGCTGGTGTCCCACTGGTGTCCCGCCGGTGTCCCGTCGTGGCTGGGCCGCGGCCAGACCAAAAGGTTCTCCGCCCGGAAACCGGTGGCGCGCGGTGTCCCGTCGGTGTCCCGCGTGTCCCGCTGGTGTCCCGCTGGTGTCCCGTCGTTGTCCCGTGGTGTCCCGTGGTGAGATCGACAGTGAGATCGATAGTGAGATCGATAGTGCGGTCGATAATGAGACCGATGGTGAGATCGATAGTGAGATCTATAGTGAGATCGATCGTGATATCGACAGTGAGATCGATAGTGAGATCGATAGTGAGATCGATCGAGTGGGATCGATAGCGAGATCGATAGCGGAATCGATAGCGAGATGAATAGTGAGATCGAAAGCGAGATCGATAGTGAGATCGATAGCGAGATCGATAGTGAGATCTAGTGGGATCGATCGTGATATCGATAGTGAGATCGATAGTGAGATCAATAGTGAAATCGATCGAGTGGTATCGATAGCGAGATCGATAGTGGAATCGATAGTGAGATGAATAGTGAGATCGAAAGCGAGATCGATAGTGAGATCGATAGCGAGATCGATAGTGGGATCGATTGTGCGATGGATAATGAGATCGACTTTGAGATCGATTGTGTCCCGTCGGTGTCCCATCGGTGTCCCGTCGGTGTCCCGTGATTTCACGTGCTGAGATCGATTGTGATATAGATAATGATACCGATAGATAGATCGATGAGACCGATCGCGCCCAAGAGCGAAGGGTGACGTAAACAACTCGACACCAAGGCTCCAAGGAGCGAGCGGCAACGCAACGATCTCCACTGGCATCGTCAGAACAACAATCACAATTGTTGCCCATTGCTGGTCCCCTTCCCCCCAAACCTCCTTATCACCCGCAGGGTGGTCGTATAGGTATATAAAAACAATATCAACCTATGCCGTAAAAAAGCAGTACCAGAAAGAGGGGAAACAAAACTGGATAGCAGGACGATGCCTAAGACAAAATCCAACCCTTCTCGCAGCTGCATGCTGCGCCCGAAAACGTTGGATCTGACCCTCGGGTCACGGCCCTCCTTCAAAAGAGACAGCCACTTCGCAGCATCATCATTCCGAGGATGACTGCGACAAGCCTCGGCAAGTAAATGCATACGGTGTCTCGCGAAGGCCCCGCAATTCGAGCACCAGATAGTTGGCAGGGCGGCCCCCCTAATTCCTCCCCAGTCGGTGAAATCGGTGGGACGGCCTTGCGATCCTGGGCCATACCCCTTCTCCTCCTCCTCCTCATCCTCCTCCTCCCCCTCCTCATACTCCTCCTCCTCCTTCTCCTGCTCCTCCTCCTCCTCCTCCTCCACCACCACCTCCTCCTCCGCCCCAGAGTTGGTGACATGGGTGAGACTGCCTTGCGATCTCGGACCATCCTGTGCACCTGTAGGACGCCAGACTCGAGTGCGCCCAGCCAAGGTCCAAGCACCTGCCACACCATGAGCCCCATGCCTTGCCGAGCTATCCAATGTCCGACGGGCTCGTGCACAAGGATTAGGCCACTGGATTTGAGCCTTTTGACAGCCATCTTGGCCACCTCCTGGAGGGGGCTAAAACGCTTGTTCCCCGAGACAGCAGAAAACTTCCTGAGCCTGTGGCTCTTCTGCTGCTGCTTCAAAAACTCCTCCAAAAGAAACTCCGAGTGCGGGGGGTTCGTCGGCAGCGTCTTTGGCTGCTTTTTGTCCGCAGCCCAGTCTCCCTTCCAGGGCCAAAATGGAAATCCCAGGTTAATGGCAACAGGCCAGCTCTCGTGAGCTGGACTTTGATCAGAGAAACGATTCAGGAGGGAAAAAAACACACAGACACAATTAATCGTCGATTCCCCAGAAAATATGGAAAAATATGGGAAGTGGGAGGGAAGACAAAAACCCAGAAAATATACGAAAATGTGGGGAATAATTTTATTTGTGTGAATTTATTTGTGTGTCCTGGCACCCCTTCAACGATGTCGGTCCGGAGGCAGGTTAGAGACATCAACCTCGGGCCCGTCGCGCACACCACAGGTTCTGAGCCCGAGTGTCGAAGGACTATCAGAACCACGGTGTAGGGCACGTGCTCGAAAGGCCTCCTCCTTCGCCCTCTCGTCTCCCTCATCCTCCTCCTCCACCCACGGGGTGCCACCCCAGATCTTAGAACGCATGCCCCAGAGATCAGATGTCCCGAACAAAGGATATCGCAAGTAGTCTGGTCAAAGACCGCATGCGTCGAGCTCGCGCACTTCATCATCGATGCTCCAACGTTGTGCGTGACAGATCCCCGGGAGCAGTTAAAACCATGCAGAGCCATTGCTATGCCGTGCTACAAGGTTGCTGCGCTGCTTCCCCAAGCGCGGCAGCGAAATTGGATACTGATGCTGTGTTGGTTCCCTCAGACGTCTAAGACGTTACATGATAAGCACTCGCTCCAAAGCGAGAGCGCTTTCGTGGGCGTAGTACACATGCAGACAGATGCATCAGCAAGGCCCGAGGGATATTGGTGGTCATCGTCAGTTCATCGGACTAAGGACCATGGGCATGATCGTGCTGCGGCGTTGCTTTCACCGAATTCTGCCAACTGTTATCACCGACCTGTGCGGTCGCAACTCTGCTTGCCATACATGCATGGCAAGCTCCATTAATGAATACACCGCTTGGGAAAGGAAAAATCAGGATGAGACAGAAGAGGCGGCAGAGGCGGAGTTTGATATATAGAGAGAGAGAGAGTGACCATAACATTATACAAGCAATGTTACGTATCCCTGTTCACATGTACATAAACCGACGTGTATGTGTATATGTGAATACATATGGATGCATGCACGTGTATGTTGTGTATAAGTAAATGCTAATGTGGATGTAGATGTACTAGAGCCACGCGAGCTTCGCTCGCGCTTCGGATCTAGCCGCGCCCAAGAAGCTCGCATCGCAAGAGGGGCCCAAGTTCGATGCTGTGGGCTCTTCAGGGATATCATCGAAGAGCTTCCTGGCCACCTCCAGCCGTCTTTGGGACGTCTTGGAGTCTCTTGGGCGCATGCTGGAGATGCGGCACTGGGAGTCTTTTGATGCCGCTGTACAGCCGTTTCGGCGGTCCCATGGGCAACACTTGAACTCACTTTGGGCCGTTCCGGGGCCGGCTCGGGGGCCTCCTGGGCTGTCTTCGGGCCCTCTTGGGGACTCTTGGGGCCGTACTGGGGCCGTCTTGGGCCCATCTTGGGC